CAACGTCCAGTGCTACAATCACAATAAAGAAATAGCAATCAATTACCAAATTCTTCTAATCAGCGACAGACAAATTATAAATCAGCTTAGCGATCGTCTGTGAATAATATCGTTCGTATAAGTTACCAGGGGATGAATTAAAAGCTCGCTGAAAATTGATGAGAAAGATTTTTAACGCTTCGATGTGTCACTCTGGTTCGAGAGACAAATTTTTGCGTCAGTTTAAAAATAAACTTTCTCAACGACACCGATCGAACTGAATTCCGTTGAGTCTATGAAACGCAAGAAGGTTAAGAGACCAATCGATGCGAAGAATCTTGACTTTTCGTTTCGTTAAGGAAACCGTCTCGACTGATTTGATGAGCGCCGATTCAACGCGTTAAACGATTCAATCGGTGAACAGTCCGCGAGTTGTTTGTAATCCCCGGACAAATTCTCGAAGGAAAAATGTCTTCTAAGACGGCGGCGATATAAATCGACTTCAGAATGACGAACAGAAAAATGCTGTACCCGGTGCAGCGCTCTTCTTTTTGAACTTTATTCGACGGTTGCTGTATATTTCAGCGACCGCCGACGAGATTGCGTCCACGCTCGAGTTTCGAAGCGGTCCTTTTAACTGGACGCGGACAATAAATCAGCGAGTAAACAGGAGACACAAAATAATGCCGCTGGAAAGCTTCAGAAAATAACGTCGTCCCGAATCGGCGCTGGCCGTCCCAACGATTGGATTCGATTCCGACCTAATTTTGTTCGGCGATGAGCGAAAGTTCGACTGAATTGGTCCGCTGTCGGATATCCGGTCGTTAATTTTCGCGACTGCGATTGCTTGGATTTCAATCGAACGTTCTGCTCCCGCCTCACGAATTCGAATCGACCTCCATCTTGATAATAATTTCCCGCCCATATCAATATGTGTAGACCGGTCTTATTATAACACGCCGGTACCTTTAAATCAACATGTAAAATGATTTAAACAGCTTTCCTTGTCGAAAACAATTCGACAATTTATTGTAAACACTGATCAATCGAATCGATTAACGATTGTTTGTTCCATTTTAGAAAATTTCATCTTCATTTCATATCTACTTTAAATAAAAGAAGATAAGTAATCAGGAAGATACAAATATACTCGATGAACAATAGAAAATATCACGAATAAAAGTAGTTAACCCTTTGCACTCGAGAGGTGACCCTCAGTCACCACTTGATTTGATTTGCAAAATTATAAAGCCTTATATATAATATTAAGCTTTGTATGATGCACCAATGTTTCCTCGTTAATTATTTTCAAAGAACATCGTCTGTATCTCATCGAAGAATATTGAATATTTCTAGCGAGAGACTTTCGAGTGCAAAGGGTTAACCCTATTTTAGTTTTCAACAAAACTATGAAGTTAAATATTTAATATTTCAAATTAAAGTTTGCATTGCTACGTGAAATAATTAAATAAAACACCTCTGTTGTTCAATTTATCTATGAATTATCGTTAAATTAGTTTCAAACAGTTGAATATTTCCATTGAGAAAGTTTCAAGTGCAAAGAGTTAATAGAATCTTTCGATTTATAACGCGCGTTCACGTCAGAAATTATTATCCAAATCCAATCACGTCCGACCAGGTCGATGAAGTACGGTAGTACGTGGTCGGTCGAAGGCTGTTCGAGGTCCTTCGGATTTTAGTTCCGACTCGCCTTTCGACCGTACGACGATCCTAAAAAGTAGCCGCCACTATGGCCCTCTCGACGCCATTGGGGTTTACGATTACGGTTAAGTACAGGGCAAAGAGATCGTATCGTTTTCCGAACGATTTGGCTAATCGAGTGGCGGCGCGATGGAAAGCAACCGCGGCCGCAGCTATGCGCGTCCGGGCCAATGCCGGCACTTCCGGCTGCGAGGATTTAAACAAGGATCAAGCGCCACGGCCACCAAGGACGCCGGCTTTTTCTGATAATGACCGAGACCGTTTCAATTTGCTGGGCCGCGCGTGGAACTTCATTCGACGCGCACGGAATCAAGAAACAGGCACTCGAGACGCTGAGAAACGGTTGTTAATTTAATCTTCTTAAATGGCTCTTGCCGGCTCCAACCCTTTCCCCCGTACCGCGACAAAGAGTTCGCCGGGGATTTAATAAATCTGATTATTACCCGGATCGTATCAATTGAAATGAATTATTATTTTTCACTTAGAAACATTTTTCCTCTCGCCGGGGCGCGTTCGTGAATTATTTATGGGATTATCGTGTCGAATTGGGAAAATTTCATTTTGAGGGAAATGGGAATAATGTTGATATCGTTCGAAATTTTACGAATTTCGAGTGTTGCGCGAGTAAACTGACGAGCAACAATTGAAACGATACTACGAGTGAACGGTGTTCTACAAGGTAGTACCTGTTAATTCAATGAAAATCATCGGTATTGAAATTATGATTTGCGGTAGTAATACGTGGATTTACGAGGTCTTAGGAGAGGATATTCATGTCCTGATAAGAGAAGTCTATTGATCCGGTTAATGACGCTTTCTCGTTCGCGCGAGAATAGTCGGAGACGATAGATCAATGAATCATTTGTCAGAGATAGGAATAAGCTTGCCAATATTCAGTGGATCAATGAGAACGCGTCTGCTTGCTCCTATAAAGACGAGAGGTGGTTCTTCCGAACAATACCAGTAAATAGCAGCGCAATAGAACAGTATCAAATATATGCGCCCACTATTCTATGAATTTCATGAGCCAGTAGCTGTTCAATAACTTTAGGAAATATTAATATAAATATTTTAATACTGGTACCCCTGGCATCCCTTTGGGATTCCATTCGGGTATTCTATATTCCAATAAAACAAAAAGAGGAAAGCTTAATTCGTTATCATGTCGCAGTAAATAAATCTGTCAGTTAAAAAATCTATCACAATGCGTACACTGCATATATTCAATCGATTCTATGAGTTCATCCAACTCCAGTTAAATCTATTTTTCTAATGTTCCGCTTTCGAAATCAATAAGCCTCTCAATTAAAAAATTGATCGTAACATATCGAACATAATCAATTCTACAAATTCATCCAACTCCATTTAAATCCATCTTTCTAATATTCCAATGTTCGCATCCCAAATTTCAACACTACGCAACCAAATAGAACTGAAATTCGTTCCACCTTCGAAACGAACAAGCCCCTCAATTAAAAAATCTATGGTAATATACACATACTCAATCAATTCGACAAATTCATCGAACTCCACCTAAATCCATCTTCCTACTACTCCAATCATCGTATCTCCAATACTACGCAACCAAAGAAAACTCAAATTTGTTCTACCTTCGAAACGAACAAGCCCCTCAATTAAAAAATCTATAGTAATATACACATACTCAATCAATTCTAAAAATTCATCCAACTCCACCTAAATCCATCTTCCTACCATTCCAATCACCGCATCTCCAACATTACGCAACCGAAGAAAAGTCTCTGTCCCGTCATCGAAACGAACAAGCCTCTCAATTAAAAAACCCACGACGTCAGTAGAACGAATTAACGTACTCGGGTACGTAACACGTGTCCCGCTATCGCGATCGGCGATCCGGTGGTCGGAATTATGTCGGAGAAATGAATCGGCCGCTTAAACCCGGCCGTTTGTAAGCGTCTCGCGGTGCTGGCGCAGTACGTTTCGCCCTCTCCCGACGGCCACCCCCGCAGCCCCTGTAAAACCGTAAAGGCGGTTGTTCGGGGCCGACTCCGGCATCGGCGAGGTCCGGGCGGACCCGGCGGGGGTCTACTGGCGTCTGCCCAACTGCAACATTTCGTCCCGAACAATCGTAATAATAAGTGGAAACGTCCGGGGCGTGACGGAGCGGGGCGAAGCGGGGCGAGGCGGGGACAGTATATGCGTGGCGATTGCTTCCAACCGAGTGGCTAATCATCGGAAACCAATGTAGACCCGGTGCCCGGCCGTTGCCGCGGAAAGGAAGCCGGTTTCCAAGCAGGTTTTTAAGGTTGGCCCGAGCCCTCCAACAATTTTACCCCAGCCCCCGCCCGCTGCCGATAAGTTCGACGTCGATACTTGAAATGCAATTACTACGCGTTATCGACGTTTATCGGGCAGCCCGGCGGGAAAAAATGAACGGTCGATCAAGGCCCGGAATGGGCACGGGGGAGCAGAGGCGTGGGCTTCCTCGAAAGAAGAGGAGGCGGAAGGAACAAAGATCGGTCTGCGGGTAACCGGCGAACCGTGAACGGTCGGCGTGCAATTAATGTAACGCGAAATTCAATTTCACAACCGGAATTGCGTTCCCGATGCTACCGGAGACAGAGTACGATCCGACTTCTGTCCGATAGAAGAATATCCGCGAGACGAATACGAGGAAGTAGCGATGCGTCTAACTTTATAGCGCGTTTCTACGTTCGTCCCCATCGTTCCGCTCGATACACCCTCGGACCGACTTACCGTCCTCCATCGACCACCCTCCTCTCTCTTTTTACATCCCGTTGCAAACGTCGGCCGCGCTTGGAAATAAAATCCTGCCTACGCCACTGTTCCAATATTATGCGAGAGATATTTCAACGGGCAGCAGGGCCCGCGATGGTTCGGCATTACTGGAACCAGGGGTAGAGGGCGTACTGCGCGACGCGGCGCGACGCGGCGCTCGCCTCATCGCCGCATTTATTATTCAACCGCCTGAAACGGCAATAATGTCCGCCGCTGGTATTTAATTTCGGCCCTGTTGAATCATGGCCGGGAACTACATCAAAATGTATCTTCCCGAAGGGTATAAACCATAAAAATACGGGAAATGGATGAGCGGGACCGTCTGGCGGCGGGCGAGGTTAAGGGTCGGATGAAAAGGGGTCGGGGCGAAGGAAACGGAAGCGGCGGCCGGGGCCTCGCCGACCGAATTTTAATACCGAGGCCTATGGCTTCTATCTTTCATCGTCGATCGACGGCGACCCAGAAACCGCCCGGCAGAATGCTCCCGTTTATTTCCTGTCAGTCATTTCCTCTTCTTTCAGGAGGGAATCGGCTCCCTGAAGGTGGTGCCCGGAGGGATCGAGCTCAGAGGTCAGGCAGCCATTCTAGACGCCCTCGTGGCCTCCAGCCTGCGATCCAGGCGCGGAAAGAATCTGATCCTGGAGTCGTGGAGCAACTTCACCGCCTCGGCCAGGTCACACGACGGCAGACTGCTCGCGCGATTGACAGTCGGTGAGGATTTCGCGTGCTTCTTTTGATAACGCCCCGTTGGGTCGGGTCACGTGAACTCTGCGGCTACGCGGATGATCATTTACGGTGCGGTCATAAGCCGGGTAACGCGAGTATTCGTACCTTTGGAAGTAATGAATGGGGTGAAATTGTTCGCGGAGTTCCGCGAGAGGGACAAATGCGGTTGGAGCGTGTAGCATGTTATACACCGATGATGAAATTCTGTACGAAATGCATTTGCGGACACTGACGGAGGCTCCTGATAAGAAAACGCGATATATTTAATCGTACCGGTTCCATTGTTCCGGCGCTGCGCGTTACTTTCCGAAATTCCGGGGTTTCAATTTGAAATGGTTTCATGTTGAATTTTCGATCGCCTTTCCGCCGTTTTCCATTTCGAAAATAGTGGAACAGTCCGCGGAGCAAGTGCCGGTATTATTGAATCAGCACGGCCAGAGAAAAACTAGGTTACCAGCCAATTGATGCGGCTGGTAGTGCGAAAGTGTACGGTGCATTTGGTTACTTCGCCGGCATCGAAGCTGCGTATTAATTGAGTTCGCGCGCGGTGCGCGCGGAAAAAGGGAGGGGAAATTCTTCCGCGGCGATCGTTAATCACAGAGTGTCGTCCGCAGAGGGGGCTCGGTTTTGAAAGCGTTCCGAAGGAGTAATTTCAAGTTAAAAAGCTTCTGTTATGAAATTAATTTCGACAATATTAACGAGAGAATCTTGTCAACGACGCCACTTTAACCGGCACGGTTGTCTCCGTCAAGACTACCGGCCGTACACAAAGTGCTCGAGCTAAACGGGTATTTTATTTTCCGCGTTTTTTGCTCGTTTTTTAAAATGCAACCGCCCCCCCCCCCT